GAGTTGCTTTTTTCTGCCTGTATTTTTTATGGGAGGGGAGAGCAGTTGTAATTGTACTTCATGCTTGAGCAAACAGGTTCTCTCATGTTGTATCTGTGGTGCAAACCCTTCAGCTCTTATCAGTAGAGCAGAGTAATGTTACACTAGACTTCTTACCTTACATTTGATTTCTAACATTGCTGAACTGATTTTTGTACAGTGCTGTAATAACTTACTAGTGATTAAGCTCCTGTTTTCAGCCATCCCTGTGGCATTCATAAGTCAGTGATTCCTCTGCAAAGCAAGTTGTTTGTATATGCATTGAGAGTGAGGTTTATAAAGCATGGAGGCTTGTTGAAAGCTAATGTTACTCTTGGGGAAGATTAGTGAATGAGCATTATTAAAAGCTATCATTTAGGCTGGTTGTCTGCTTGTTATAGGGGACTCACACTTTCTTTGTATAAAATTAGAATTCCTACATGGCAGAAGCATGATGGAGAGAGGCTGGAATCATCCTTCTTTTCCTTGGTCAGTCACCTGGTGAGGGTGATGCTGTTAATTAACAAAGTGACAACCTGACAAAACTGTTTAAAATATTTCAGTGCTTGAAAGTAAAGCTGAGGTCTATATGCCAGAGTTTACCAGATTGGTTTTAGGACAGGTCTTCAGTATTTTCAGTTGTGTGGCTTAAATCCCAAGTATCAGTATCTTACCATGTTCAAATGATGTCACACTAACCATTCTATAACCACGTTGTGTGGCAGCAAATTATATATTGTCCTGAAGTACCTCACACTAAAGCATGTATGCCTGTACATTTATTTCATTGTTAACACTAGTATAAATGGAAGACTTGTGTTTTGCTCACTAACAACCTTTTCTTTTTTAGTATGCTTGCCTATCTTGTGGAGTGGAAGAATCTTGGTTTCAGATAGTATTTATGCTGAGTATCACTGACTATAACAGTGTCTTTAGGGCATTAATTGTCTATTCATGTTAAATATTGAACTTCTTAGACTGTAATATTGAATTTAAGAATGTGCAACTGATTTTTCTTTCATCTAAGGCTGATGTGGGAAATGGGATTTTTCACTTAATTTTATAAGCTGTTATGCAGTCTGGTTTTTGTGTTTGCATTATTTTCAGTTTGACACAGCAAAATACAATAGTGACCTTGAAGTAAAGATGGCCTGTGGTAGTTATTTTCATGGCTGAAAAAATATATGTAGAATGATACACAATATGTAAACTGATAGTATGACTGAGAGCACAATTCCCAGAAAAACTCATGGAAGTCATCACACTTTCTCTTCCAAGTGGCTTGCATAAGCTTTGTTTAGTGCATATGTTGCCTTGTGGAAAGTTAGCCAATTTTTAAAATTCAGCTATCCTATAGTAAGGTTGTCCCAGACTACACAGTTATGGTTTTCAGTACCAGAAAATTCTTATGTCAATGCCAATAATACCCATTGCTAATATGAAGCAGAATAAACATTGATTATGAAATTATATAATTATCTTTGTGCATAGCCTGGAACTAGTGCAAATGACTGCAGTGACTCAGACTCATAAGAGCTTCTTGAATTTCTGTCAACTTCATTTTTCTAATGGAAGTCTCATCTTGCCTTGATAGTGTTAATTTGTGTATATATAGGAGATATCAAATAATTGCATTAATTATTTAGCCTCCTCACCAGTATGCATTTCAAATGTCAAGTTATTGCTAAGCATTGCTACTTGCAATCATGCAGCCTAATGATTTACAATTGTAAATTTGAAGCTAATTATAGCTGTTCCAGTACAGCAAAATATGAATATTAAGCAGAGAATTTTCCAACAAATTTAAACTGTTGCATGATACAACTCAATTTTGGTAAAATGTACCTCCATCTGCTTTTAGTTTATATGTGGCATCCACCTATTACTGTCTAGCCACACCTTGAAACTAGTTTTCTGATATATCCACCTTTAATTTTCTGTTCCCTCCAAGAGTCCTGTGATTATATGAGTGAATTTATAGAATCCATTTGTGTTATGCATATATAGCTTACTGATTCAAGTGCATGGCTACATATGGGAAAGCTGGTTAGGCGACTAGAAAAATTAGCCTGAAGTGAATTGCATGTTCCAAAGGAAGAACTGCAATTTGGTTAGGTTTTGCTACCTTTGCCAGTGTGGTACAGAAGATATAAAATGCTATGGGTTTGGATGTGGGAGGTACGTACTCATGTCCTCAAGTTCATTAGGCTGCTTGGGATGTCTAAATACCTTTTGCTATGACTGCTTCCTATGATTGTGTTAAACTGAGAAAATGGCTTGGTCTGGGTTATAGTATAACATGGAAAGAGGGACAAGGAAAATAAACTATTTTCATTGACCTATAGGCTGTCTTATAAAATGCATCCACCTGTGAAGAAGTTTCTAAGGACAGCTGACTAAGAGAAAAGCCTAGATGTGATGGCTGTAGATCCATGTGTTTAATAGACCTGTCCCAATCACATAGGAAAAGGGCAATAAAGTCCATTTTAACAAAAAGGATGTGAGGGTGTTTTGCCAAATCCCTTTGTTTCTCAGCACCTTTCTTCCAGCTGAAGGCACTTGTAGTAACTGAAGTATGGCTGAGGAGGGTGGAAGCTCCAGAGGAAACAGGCTGTAGGTAGGAGGTGGTTCTGTACACCCAAACACCCCTTCACTGTTAGAAACAAATCTTAACATCCTCTTTCTGTGTGGTTAAAGTAAGAGAACATCTAGAGCACCTAACATGTTGTAACATTGTAGTAATGGTTTTACATGGTTTTAACTTGTTTTTATGTATTGGCTTATGCCTATCTGTGAGCCACCCTGAGCCCGCGTTGCAGGGAGGGAGGGCTATAAATTGAAATTATAAATAAATAAATAAATCACATGGTCATTTTGATAGTTTCACCACTGTTCCCTATCACATTTAAAAGGGCTGATCAGACGGCCGCATCTGTCTCCAGTATCAAAGTGGACTCACCCCCACAATCCTCCTGGTTTCCTAGCGATTTTTCTGACACAGGGAAAATCAAGTACTTTCTGAATATTTGCAGTGTGAATCTGCAATTTCGCATGTCTGGACAGCCATCTCTCGCTATGAATGCAGTTAGGTCGTCTGAATGTCCTTCTCGTGCTGATTTCCCCCCCTAGCTTTTGCTGTTGTACGCATGAGCAATCCTGCACTGAGTATATTAAATGCATGAACGTTCAAGCACACATATGTGGACTCCAGTGCTCAGTTGTACCTTGGTGGTTCATTTTGTTCACTATTCATGGGAGTACAGTGCGTCCAAGTGGGAGCTATGATTTGGCCATGCACATATAAGCATGTGCAAAGAAATTTTTTAAAAAACCCTTGTGCCACTCCGCGCATCTGGACAGTGCCTGGAGCCTCGTCATGCGATATAAGTGGTTCCCAGAGGGATGTTTGATCATCCCAACCCCGCAAAAAAATCCCCAATCAAATATACAGTGGGAAATAATCATGGTAATCTTGCCGTGTGACCACAGCCTAAGTCTGTACTTAAGTGTATGTATCTGCTGTCCTAATATCTACATAATGGTGCCTTCTCAATGGTAAATATAATTTGTATCTGTAAATCAGAGCTAAAACCTGCTCAATGAGATTAGTTGCC